CGGCAGAGAAGAGCTCGATGCCACTCCTCATGCCAAAAGAGCAGTCTCCCCTTAGACGGCATCTCCCCTGCCCAGGTCTAATTCCTGAGACCAGCAGACTGAACCCTGGCTCTGAGAAGTTACTGACAGTCGCGGTGTGTGGCCATCCATGTGGCTATGTGAAAAGTGACCCAAAGCTCAGCACATAAAACCACCTAATGATGCTCACAAGGGCCCCAGGGGACAACAAACACGGGGGACAGCTGGTCTCAGGATGCTGGTGTGCTCTGCCAGAAGATGGGAATTCTGCAGCTGAATTCCTGAGGCCTCCTCACTGCACCTGGCACCCCCACCACAGCTGTGGGGCTCCTTGAGCATCCACCTCCATTTCTCTATGATCACCCCAACACGGTTGTTCAAGTCCAACATGAGCATATTCTGAATGGGAAGGGGAGAAAATCTGATGGCAGCTCTGCCACATTTTCTCAACAAAGCTTTGGAGGGTCCCTCTGTGAGTTCCGCCATGTTGGAGACTGCATAATAAAAGAGGAGCACCAAAGAGGCAGGAACACTCATGATCTTGTGCTTGTCAGGCTGGCATTGTGCCACTGAGCTAAATCCCCGGCCCTTCTCTTCTAATATCTCACTGAATCTGGGCACACTCACGTGCTATGTAAAAATGGGTACTGACTTGTGTGGAATGTAGAGGAATGAACTGTGTAGAATCAAGAGCAGGGGAGATGGGAAGGAGTCCAGCAACCTAAAAATCTCATCGCATTCTCTGAGAGGGAACCTTTTTCCTGTCGGTGGCTCAATTTATTAGGAGATGAAGATGAGAAAGCCTGTGAAGGACCACCATGTCACATCTGAGCGTACTGAAGCACTTCCTTCCTTTCCTTAGTTCCTTATTCATGTCATAGTTTGCTTTTCACATTTAGAAGCTAACTCATTTGTTTCCTGTTAGTGTTTGAAACTCCATACAGCCATCGTTAGTCCTAACTCTTCAAGAGGCAGGAAAGGCCAGGACCCACATTCCTATAAAATTCTGGCCTATTTACAAAATTTTCTCCACTAAAGATAGTTATGTTCTGGAAAAAAGTTGATAAAATCCTTTGCCATGGTGTTTTATGACAAATTTTT